CCCTGCTCAAGGCTCCTCCCTGGCTCTCACCACCTTCAGCACCACCCTGGACTTTTCTGTTCCACCTCCTCCCAGTCAGCCGTCCACCTCCAGAGCCTCCTCATGTGTCCTCTGCCTGTTTCGTTAACCCTTCACCAGCCCCTTCGCCATCGCCTTGCCATCTCCTCATCCTCCTCTCCTTCTCTCTACAGCTATGAGGACGCGCCTTCCGGGAGAGGGCGTTATGTCACACCGCATGGACTCTGTTTGTGTTTCCCACTGTTCCCGCCTTGTCATGGTCATTCGTTTGATTTCATCATTAAGTTCAGGTGTGCGTCTCGTTATCTCCACTACTTAAGTTCAGTTCGGTTTGAGTTTCTTTGTCGGGTCTCGTCAATGTGTGTAGGCTACGTTGTGTTGGACTGCTATTGGAATTTGACTTGTGGATTTATTAAAACCTGTTATACTTCGTTTTCTTCTTCATTGTGCATTTGTCTCTCACCACACAACCTGTGACAAAATCATAATTTTATATTTATTTTTATATATATTTCATATTATTAATAAGTTATTATATTTTAAATATATATTATTTATATATTTATTTATTTTGAGCGTAGTTTACATGGTGTAGTTATTGTGCAAAGTCTTATATTTGTCTTCTGTTTGTTGTTGTTATCCAATAAAGTGTGCTGTCATTTTGTGTCATTATGGTTATACTGTGTGAATAATTTTTTTACTATATTTTATAGCCTTTTACCTTATTCAGAAAGGACAGTGAAGAGTGACATTTGGTGTGACATTTGAACCTGGGTCCCCTGTGAGCACTTGGACCTGATTATGATGAATATGATAACCTGATAATTACTGAACCTAAACTTAGGGGCCTGATAAAAAATAAATAAATAAATAAAAGAAGAATTTCAGACGGGCTTAAAGGATTTTGCATCTGAAGTCTTCATTTGTTCTGTGGAGTTATACTCAAAATAGGAACGTTTCATGTTTAGCAGTTTTATCTTAATATGTGGTTTTGTTTATTTATGTTCAGATGTTTTAAGACGTATACAGTGTCTCAGACTATTTTAAACACGGAGGAAATAATAACACCACCTTTATAGAGAAAATGTGTAATAACTGAATACATGCCTCATAATAGGTAGTTCTAAGAAATGTGTGGAAAGCTGCCAATGTGAGATTATATGTTCCCATCCTGGAGTCGTGGCCATCCATGGGGAAGTTGTTGGCATTTATTTGAGTGCCCTTCATTTATGCTTTTGTTGTGAAGTGTGCATGCTGGCACAATGATTCTCACAAATCATTTTTTTCTCCATCCATCATTCTCCCAAAGGCCTGTTCAACCTCAAGGCAATGTTGTACCATATTTAATATCTTTTTACACCCATACTAAGTAAACACGGCCTTTGCATGGTAAATGCATTATATGAATTAAGCCAGTAGAAGAGGTCTAAAACCAAGAACAGGTCTTAACTGGATCTATTCACAGGAAACTAATAAAGCCTGAATATATCCCTGCATCCTAACTGGCAATAAACAAAAGGAACCAGCCTTTATCACACTACATGGAGGAATTCTCAGAATGCAAGATATGTTTACTGTGACACATTTTATGTGACTAGACTTTTACAACAGTGTGTGTGTGTGTTTTAAATCATATATATTTATATAAAATTAACAATAGCTGGAACATTAGGTACTGACACTTTGCAGACTGTAGAGAGACTAAGCCAAGGACATGCCACCAAAAACTTCCTTAATGAAACAAACCCTCAACAGCTCAGAGCCTGGTCACATTTCTAGCTTTCCTCAGAATCACTTTCTCACTGTTTCATTTGTACCTATTTGTTTAACTGATTCAAGTAATACCTTTAAAAGTGGAAAAGCAATGAAACGCATTTACCACTCCTGGGCACATGGCTAATCCCTTGAGATCAAGTGAACATGCGTGGGCTGCTCTTCCTATGAAAAGCCTTGTAAAAGAAAACTATGTTCCTTCCCTGAGTGGTGAATGACCAGCTGATGGACTTCTGGTCACTGGCAATGAAGCCATGCTGATTAGTTATGCCTGTAAAGCTTGATAGAAGACAGCAGTCGGGTTGTGAGAAATGGTACTATTATAATATAATTTTAATGCCGATTTGTTAGCACATAAATATGTTTGGGAATAAAAGTAATGCTGTAGCGTTTACAAAAGCAGCATTTGCATATCTTCATGAGGTACGCAGTAGAGAATGGACATCAGTGTCATTGCAGAAGATCATCACCTCTGTCATAAACTGTGAGATTTATGACACAGTATTTGAGCCTATGGGCCATAACCTTTCACAACAAGGTAACGGGAGATGTGTCCACTATACGTGAGATGGCAACTACTGAATGATTTAACAGACTGACCATTTTCAGCACTTACTTGGTAAACAACTACATTTACCCATTATAGACTATATATCATGTTCCTTTGATGTGAATGAATTATGATTCATTCAGAAATCTATGGATGCATTATTTGAAATGGATAAATATCAAGCATAAAGCATATGGGGTGTTTTATTTTTTGCCTTATCCTCCCAATTGCTCTGTTTGAACATTTAGGAACTGTATACACTTAAATGATCTGCCTGTGAGCAATATGAGCTGTCAACAACTCGCAACCTTCAATAAAACATCACACACTGATCTTGTAGAAAAATCTCAGAGGACACATAACACTTCGGAAAGGCCTTTCATGTGTTTATGGATTTAAGATAAATGGTTCTTATAGCTATTTTTACTTCACATGCGTGAGTTTTTCAAAAGCCATTTTGACTGCGCACATTCCAGGCTATTTTTACGGGGCGTGAAAACAAGACTCTCTTTCCAGTGTCCAGCATTTCTATGTGTGTGTTTCAGAAATTAAGGTGATTTTCATGAAGGCAGTCCACAATGCAATTTACAGTAAAAATCAATGCCTGTGATTTATTTGTCTTGTTTGGTTACTTAGGCTTATAAATCAAATCGAAACCTATCAGTATAGTTTTATTTTCTTTAATACTGTACAATACCACTTCGTCATGCATTCCCTGGGAATCAAACCCATAAGCTTGGCTTTGCAAATATATGTATTCGTTATGCTTTTGAAAGTGTTTGATCAATACAGAAAAAAACAGTAATACTGTAAAATATTGTTAGAATTTAATATACATTAAAATACCCTATAGTTTATTTTTGTGATGCAAAGCTGAATTTTCAGCATCATTACTACAGCCTTCAGTGTCACATGATCCTTCAGAAATCAATTCCTATATGCTGATTTGATACGGTTATTATCAATGCTAGAAACAGGTTTTTTTTATAACCTGTGAACTTTTTCAGGATTCTTGGATGAATAAAAAGTTTAAAAAGAACAGCATTTATTTAAAATAGAAATCTTTTGTAACAATATACCGTTCAAAAGTTTGGGGGCAGTAATTTTTTTTTCTTTTTTTGAAATAAATGAATACTTTTATTCAGTAAGGATGTGTGAAATTGATAAAAAGTGATAGTCAAGATTTAAATTTGTTAAAAGAAAAATCTATTTTGAATAAATGCTGTTCTTTTTAACTTTTTATTCAATGAATCCTGAAAAAAGTATCACAGGTTCCAAAAAAATATTATGCACCACAACTGTTTCCAACACTGAGTATCAAATCAGCATATTAGAATGATTTATGAAGGAACACTGAAGACTGGAGTAATGATGCTGAAAATTCAGCTTTGATTAAATTATATTTTGAAGTAGGCTATATTCAAATAGAAAAGCTATAATTTTAAATTGTAATAATATTTCACAACATTAAAATATTAATAAATGCAGGCTTAATGAGCATAAGATCTTTCAAAAATATTAAAAATAGTAATGTTTCCAAACTTTTGACCGGTACTGTATATATGTAATGGTAATGGTTGCTTCTGTCTCTGTGATCCTGGTGGTTTTGTTCCTTTGTTTCTTGAGTTCTGTGTTATCTGTTTAATGTATTACTTTATTAAAAACCCTACGTTTAGATCCTCACCTTCTCCAGTTTTCTCCTGCGCAGTACAATATATATATTTATATTAGGGCTGTCAAATGATTAATCACGATTAATCACATCCAAAATAAAAGTTTTTTTTACATAATATATGTGGGTGCACTGTGTATAATTATTTTATATATATAAATACACACACATGCATGTATATTTCACGAGTTTACATGTTAATAAAATCTGATGTAATATTATAATGCGTATTTGGCTTGCTGTCCGGGGGGAGGGCTCCGAGCTCAGAATTCGGCCCGACCCCAGAGTACTCCCCCCATAACCTTAGAGATCATAGGTAACTATGAGCGGACCCAGCCGAATGTGGGGTGAAGGGGTGGTGGTGGGATGCTGAGAAATTAGTCATGAGACAGGAGGTAAGGGAAGGCTTTATTTATACTGGCTTCTTCTTGCGCTGATTGGATGATTACCTGAACATGCTCCTCCCGAACTTTGTTTACATAAAAACTTCAATTAAGAAAAAAATATTATTTATATATAAAATATTTATATTTATATATAATATAAATTATATATAAATCTATATACAGTATATACATGAAAATATTTCTTAAATATATACAAGCATGTGTGTGTATTTATATATATAAAATAATTATACACAGTGCACCCACATATATTATGTAAAAAAAACTTTTATTTTGGATGTGATTAATCACGATTAATCATTTGACAGCCCTAATTTATATATATATATATATATATATATATATATATATATATATATATATATATATATATATATATATTGCAGACTGTCCCATATAACAAAGTTAGTTGGGCTACATGTATATTGTGTAACATGGACAATGTAATGTAATGTCCCCTTTATTTCTCACTCGGATTCCTGTGTTCCTGAAGGCCTATTGAAATGAGTCTGAAGCCCTGCAACAGCTAAGCACTGGATAGAATTTCACATTCTATATTTAAGTCCCCTGACTTGTGTCACAGGGCTATTTAAATGCCAACAGTCTTACTGTCAAAACAGCCTACAACAACATGATGGACCTGTTTGAGACCAACACTTATTTTTTCAACGATTTACGTTATCTTGAGGGGGACCATGGGACTTTGGATATGCCAGGAGTGTCCCCACTCTACGAGGGTAATGACAGCCCTTTGTCCCCGGGACAGGATCCGGTCCCGTCCGAGACAGGGTGCGAGAGCAGCGGAGAGGAACACGTCCTCGCGCCGCCGGGACTCCAGTCGCACTGCGATGGTCAGTGTCTCATGTGGGCTTGCAAGATCTGCAAAAGAAAATCTGCGCCCACTGACCGGCGGAAGGCCGCGACTCTGAGAGAGAGAAGGCGGCTCAAAAAGATCAACGAGGCGTTTGAGGCGTTAAAGAAAAAGACGGTGCCCAATCCGAACCAGAGGCTGCCCAAAGTGGAGATTTTACGCAGCGCAATAAACTACATCGAGAAACTGCAGGACCTGTTGCATTCGCTGGATGAGCAAGAACAGAACTCTGACAATGACCCTTACACATACAACGTGAAAGAAAACCATGTAAGAACATATCCAAGCCAACACAACCGATCCATGTGCTCTGACAGCAGCTGGATCCACGTGGTGCCACATGTCTGCTTCCAACTTATGATTATTGATATTCATTTCTAAAATTAAATTAAGAGTAGGCTAATATTAATGTTTACCATCATGATTGCCTGTTCAGGTGGCTCCCAATGAGTATCATTGGAAAAAGACCTGCCAGAGCTGGCAGGGGAATCCAGATCATTCCAACTCCCCGATGGCCGGTCACAGAGAAGGTTGGTACCGAGAAATAAACGTTAAGATTTTAATTACGGTCTTAAATGGCTGGTTATTAATGTTCCATGCGCTGGTGATGTGCGTAATGGTCTGCGAGTAGAAGCCTATATATTTGCGCGCATGATTGTGCCCTAAAAACTACAGCAACAATAATCTCAACCTCATGTTCTCTCAAAAAACGCTATAAAAATCATTCAAAATTGAATGAGAAACTATTAAGAATTTTTTTCTCATTTCCAGTGTCGGTGTAGTGCGTTTTGATTTTGTGCGTAATTGTGATGGCATAATTGCTTTTCGTTACTGTCTGCGCGTAATTCTCTACATGTGCGAAATGCTTCATTCATAAATCCCTGTGTGTAATTGTTTTTCTGTAATTGTCTGTAGCTAATTCTCACTGCATAATTTCGTGTCATTTTCTACGCTTGTTTCTCGAAGCAAACATGATCCATGCCTATCACGTGTGTTCCAGGAGCCGCAGTGGAGTCTTCAGCATCCAGCAGCCTTCGTCGCCTCTCCTCGATCGTTGACAGCATTTCCACTGAAGAGACGAAAGCTCGATGTCCCGACCAGACCTCAGAAAAGTGAAGCTCAAGCATCCCACCTCACATTTCCGACTTTTATTTATTTCCATGAGCTAGTGTAAATGTTTTAAATGTAATAGGCGACACTTTCATAAATAGGTCATTAACAAACATCCTTATATAATGCGATCTAAAAAATTAATATTTCTGAAAATATGTAAAAGATTCATATAATTTCCAGGCTATCTAATTTAATGTAACCATGTGATCTGTTATGCATTGTATAATATAATGTTTTTATTACATTGCAAATATTAGTAATGAAAATGTCATTATGAAGTGTTCCATTTATTTTTCATAATTGACCATTCAGTGTAGTTGCTGCAGGTAATTCCAGGTTAAATTAAGGGTCATTAATATCAGCAAAATGATTCCTGTCAAGGTCTTCCTAAAATGTACATATTGTGTAATATATTGCTGTTTCTTAAATTATTTTATAAATGAACAAGAAAGAAAGAGCACTTGATGACTACCGGATTAAATTCCAACATTAAACATAAAAAAAAATCGATGTTGTTCTCTGTATTTTTATTTATTTAAAAACATTTTTTTTTCAATTTACAATTATTATCAGTTATTAATCATTTTTCCAAAGATTTTGAGTTTTTGAGGTGCCTGCATCATTCCAATGAAATATTCCCTTGTGATTTCAAATTTCAAAATGTACCTGCCTATTGTCTGATAAAGTTCAACTAGGCATTAAACATTGAAGACATTCAACCTTGTTAAGCTTTAAATTAATTTAGCACCGATGTAAAATCTTCATACTTGTTCAGTTGAATCTATTTTGAGTCGTAACATTTACTTAAAGGTCCCAAGCTGAAGGTAACAGGCATGTATAGCTCGCAATGATGGCTGGCCACCAAATGTCCTCATTACAGCCATTGAATTAAAAGTCCTCCGTATTCCAGCAGCAGCAGCCTTGACCAGTCAAGCCAGCAGCTCTCCCAGATTTACGAGCATTAGCGGACTGTTAAAGTATGACTGGCCCTGAAATAGCCCTGGCCTTGCCTGTTAGTTCCAGCTGGCAGGGCCGGACTCAGGATTGGCTGCAATGAAACCCACCGTCTATCTCATGATCAGAAGTAGAAGGTTGGTCAGGGGAAAATATTGCAAAGCTGTAAGCAACATGACAGCTATCATAATGTTACAGTCTGTGAGGGTTTTCCCCTTGGATGAAGCATTGGGTTGCATTGCATTCATTGGTCAGGTTTAATTTGTAAGTGTGAATGTGTGTTTGGCAATTATCCATCGGTAGAGTTGATTTGCTGGTGTTCCCAAGATCCACTGCGGCATTTCCATCTTGCACAGCGTGCTGTATGTCAGGACCGGCTCTCTGATCTTTCCATTTAACACACTACCACCTTTGACCTCATCACAGACACGAGTTAACTTATGTACTCAAACTCTCAAATGACTCGGAATGACCAGTGACCTGCACATCTGGGAAACAAGACCGTAAAGAGTCAATTCATTATGCGATCCTCCAGAAAATGGAAAAATAGGATGCAAACTTATCATGTCTGGATTTTTAATATCACTTCAGAAATCAGATTAAAATTATTTCGAAAGTAAATACGTGGATTACCGTTTTGAAAGAAGTCTCATATGCTCCCTCATGTATTTATTTGATCAAAAATACAGTGAAATAGTGAAATATTATTACAATTTAAAATAAATTATTAGCATTGTCATATATTGAAAAATGTAATTTATTTCTGGGATTCAAAGCTGAATTTTCAGCAACATTACTCCAGTTTCCAGAGTCACATGATCCTTCAGAAATCATTCTAATATGCTGATTTCAATGTTATCCATGTTAAAAACAGTTCATATTTTTGTGGAAACCATGATGCACTATTTTAGGATAATTTGATGAAAAGTTACAATACAATGTTTTTTGTTGAATATTAAGCAAAATATATTTAAATATGAATATATCAGCATGTTATTTGACATGCTTAATGGTAACATTAATAATACTTCAGTATAAACATTGCTTTGGCGACTGCACACTTCGGGTGATTGTCTGATAAGTTATATGGCATTAAGATTGGGACACTTCAAAGAGATTTATTGCTCTCCGCTTAGTAAGCCAGACTGTAACCAGATAGCTCTGTCTACAGTGTTGTTTTAATAGGATCTCAGAGATGGTGCGATTTTATTTGGGTTCTTTCTTTATCATGATGCCCGACTCCTTCAGCAGAGAGAAAAATCAAATTTGAAAGATCTTGACAGATTCATGGCTTGATTTGCATACTCTGAAATACATAACAACTACAAATGTGTCATTAGTTACCATCAAAGGGAGGTACAATGAATGTGATTATAGCATCATGCCATCTGGGAATTATCCCAGAGGAACATTTTATTGCACAGAGGGCTCGAGAGACTTTGTTTAAGCATCAGCTTTCTCATGGATGCTTCAAACAAAATTCCTGATCAGAAATAAAAATGGACACAAACTATATAATATACCTTATTTGAACATTTGATCAATTTATATGGTCTATCTATCAAAGTAAATATCAGTAAAGCAAAGTCCTCCTGATTTTTCGTTGAGGTAGTGATGAGGTCTGGAGTAAAACAGAACTCGCATTCAACTAAAGCTAAACTATAGGACTGAAGATGTGTTTTGGAAAAGATTTACTGACATTCCTTTGAATACCCGGTTATGGAGCCATTCTGATATCCCACATCACTGGAGCTTATACAGAACACTTCCTCTAGCTGCCAGACAAATGCTGTTGCCAATCACACCAACTGATCATGTGATCAAATATGATACTGTTATTGCTGACGGAAAAAGTGCAGCCAATGGCCGGTCTTGGCAGGCAAAAGGAGGCTGGAGAAAAATAACAAGAGGCTGGAGGAAACATCGGAATTTTCCTTCAGTGTATGCAACTATAAAATCATAACATCATTGTCATGGTGTATAGTCAGTCTAGATGTGAGAAAAAAGCGAAATCAAGTTAATGTTAATAAATCAAGTTAATAAATCAAATAAATGATCATTTGAATTGCACGTTTACTCTTAACAAACACTTGTATGAGAAATTAAAACTGAGAGCCCGCACAGGAAAGAAACATTAACGCTCACCCTCTGCCCTACACTTAACACAGTTCCTGACCCTTGACAACAACCCTCAGAAAAGCCCTGAAGTTCCCCAGAGACATCGCAATGTTCCCAAATCTCAGAGCAGGTTTGTGCGCTCACTCATCACAGCCGTCTCAGGGACCTTTGCGGGCTCGCCATATGCTTACGCAATCTGAGTTGGACTCAGTTATCGACTGCTGTCAGGTTTTCTCGTTGTCCACGTTGTTAACAGTCAATTGTCTTTGATCTGAACGACAGCTAAACAGGATTATCCCTTGCCAATGTCTTCTTCAGCTGTGCGCAATACAATCTACACCGGCTCTCCGTGTTTTCTTAGGTGCGCAGGGTTCCCAGACACTAGAGAGGCCAAACGTTTTAGCACGTTGTGAGAAATATCCGCATTGTATCTTTATTAGCTGTCAACACTGATGGCTCGAGTAATGACCTCTATTCAGCAATAGACGGGGATTTTAAGACACTTGATCAGTGTTACGGTTATAAACTATGTGGTTTTTATTGCGCAACTGCCTTTACGCACCATTTGCGTTATTATTGACGTAATTTGAAGTGGATTAAATGAAAAAATATAATCCAAAAAGCTGCTCTGCAAATAAATTTAAGCGCAAATTGATTTTTTTTCTCAAATATGGCCTACAGTATATACTCAGATGTTAAATACAGTCTGTACACATGTGGTCATGGCCTTGTTCAGCATTTGAAAGGATTCTGGTATACATTTTAATGATGGATTTCTGATTGTGTGTGATGGTAGTGACATTTTTCAGTTTTTGGATAGCTCAGCAGTCAATTATTTCAGGTCTTTGGGAAAAGCAAAAAAACAAATTCTTTTAATTTCTTTACAATTTTCAAAGTATTTTTTAGTAATGATTTATTGTAGAGGTTAAAAAAAGTTTGGGCAGGGGACAGGGTACTACTAGTTAGAAAACAAATTTTTTATTTAATTTACCAATTAAAAATAGAATGATAGTTTTTTAAATATCCTCCTAGAGGGGAGAGAAAACTTGCCTGAATTGAGGAATAACCCATATATTAAAATATACATATAAATGTCACAAAATCATTATTTTTACAGATGCACAATTGACAATTCATTCACTTCTTTCTTCAACATTTTGATTTTAGGTCAGAATTGTTTTTTTTTATCTATAGTCTTCATTTATAGTCATATGACAAATTCATTTTAGTACATTTCTATAAAATGCAGTTTAAAATAGTTTTAGTACAATGCTCCGAATACCAAAAAGAAGCAGAAATCTTGCCACACAGTCGCTAATGAGCTACTTAGAAATTTAATGAGCGTTAACTAACATGGACACGCTGGCTCTGACACCTTCATCCACTGTCCGGATCTTGAGTTGTTTATCTGTGTGAGTGTGTGCCTCTGAAACACTACACCAGCCCTTACAGCTGGGCCGCATCTGCAACGCTGCTCATTCTCAAGCGTAACACTTGCTAGCAAACACTGGAGTCATTCTTGACCATTTTGTTTTGAAGTAATAGTAATATGACACATATTGTTTTTGGTTTAATTTTGAATGCATCATTTCTTCAGGGGCCCCATGCAGCATAAGTATATTTAAAGTCTTTAAGAGTATTGACAATCGAGTGCATATAGCCTACATATATATGCACTCAATTGTCAATAATCTTAAAGACTTTTAATAATCAAGACAAGTCTTGGACACAATGCAGGACAAAATGTGAGTAGCTACAAATCTGCATGTTCTACAATTAAAGTGCAAAAAAAAAACTTTCAAAGTAAAGTAAGATCTAATGTGGACTTCTAAAGCAAGAGTTTCTGCACATGAATGTTTATTGATGATAATTCCCTCTTGTAATGACTGTCACGCTGTTGAACTGAGTGAGAAACCACCCCTATACACAGATGTGGGAAACTCAGTAGGGGTGTTGGGTCTGGGTGGGGATCTGGGTGGTGAGGGAAGGGGGGTCGCTGAGCCCTGCCTTGGCCAATGGGGCACGGTCATTAGGGCTGACCAGTGTGGGCCCCAGTATATAAGAAGGGCCGTATGGCACCAGAGAAACCACATCACTCAGAGGTCACCCTCTTACAGATCTCCTACACCACACCAATCATGGACGTATTCTCCACATCCCAGATCTTCTACGACAGCACCTGTGCCTCGTCCCCTGAAGATTTGGACTTCGGCCCCGGAGGGGAACTGACCGGGTCTGAGGAGGACGAGCACGTCCGGGCCCCCGGTGCTCCGCACCAGCCGGGTCACTGTCTGCAGTGGGCTTGCAAAGCTTGTAAGCGCAAATCCAGTACGGTGGACCGCCGGAGAGCCGCCACTATGAGGGAACGCCGCAGGCTGAAGAAGGTGAACCACGCGTTTGAGGCACTACGACGATGCACCTCGGCAAACCCC